GGGAAGAAGAAGGGAGGGGAGGGGCGCCGGCAGGGGCCTGTAGGCGGTGGCGGCAGGGAGAGGCTCGGGTCCGGACGGGAGGGCGCCGGGAGGGGTGGCGCCGGGAGCGACGGGAGGGGCGCCGAGGAGAGGGGCGGGGTGCTCATGAGGGGGGCGCCGGGGGATAAGTCTGGGGATTTTTTCGTTTGCCGAGTGTCCTGGATCTGGGCACTCGGCAAACTTTTTTTTTCTCCTTCTATTTCTATTTGTAAAAAAGATTTTTCGTTTGCCGAGTGTCCTAGATCTGGGCACTCGGCAAACTTTTTTATTTTTTTTTTTTTCTTCTCCTTCTATTTCGGAAAAAGATTTTATTTCTTTCACCGAGTGTCCTAGATCTGAGCACTTGGCAAACTTTTTTTTTATTTTTTTCTTCTCCTTCTATTTCAGAAAAAAGATTTTATTTCTTTCGCCGAGTGTCCTAGATCTGAGCACTTGGCAAACTTTTTTTTTATTTTTTTTCTTCTCCTTCTATTTCATAAAAAAGATTTTATTTCTTTCGCCGAGTGCACGAAAGAAAACACTCGGCAAACCCTCTCTTTGCCGAGTGTTTTTTTTGACACTCGGCAAACCCCCGTTTCGCCGAGTGTTTTCAGTGCAGTACTCGGCAAAGAACTTGTTCGCGGGTTTGCCGAGTGTTTTTTTTTGCCGAGTGTTTTCAGCGCAGTACTCGGCAAAGAACTTGTTCGCCGAGTGTCCGAATTAATACACTCGGCAAATATAAAAACACTCGGCAAATTTGACGTTTCCGGTAGTGTTAGTTGCTTAGATAGTACCATGACTACTCACAAGATGTATTTTGCTTACTGTATTGTTTCGTTAGCACACCATTACGTATTTTTATAGGCATAAATGCAATATTTACTTTCGCCCTTCAATCTGTATATGTGACTATTTTTCTGAAGGTTTCATGGTTTATGTGACAGGGTGAGTACCAACGAGGGTCAGTGCAGGGAACTTCGATATTGAGGATCTAAAGGCTCAGGCATCACTGGTTGATTTTCTTATCTTCTATCGTTGTGACACCTTACTCGTATGTTTTAAAGTCAGTGTTGTTGCCTTACAAGTAAGCTATATAACCAGTGGCGTAGCCAGGATTTGTAGCTATGGTTGTCCATTGTCTAAATTTTTTTAATGCTATACCAATTTGATAAGTAAATAGAACCAATGATAAACTTTATCGCTCTTTGTTTCAACAATTCTCCAAGAGAATTATATAATGTTTCAATATATATCCAATACTGCAAAAAATCATATATTGAAATAAAATAATTCAGTGTTGCACTTGCACCAAAAATAATCAGTTTTGCATACCCTAAGGTTGTGCACTTTTCCTATCTGACTGTCTGCAGATCGCAGATCACCGAACGGATCATATATTGAAATTGAAGAAACTGAAAGGAAAAGAAGAAACGTATGTACTTGTGACTAAAGAAGAATAGCGATAGATCATAGACGTTGGCTCAGCAGCCAGCAGGATTTAACGTTGGCTCAACAGTTCAGTCTTGGAGTCGCTAGGATTCAGAGTACCTGCTGGGCTGCTGCTTTGCGTTTGCCGTCGTGGAGATGCCGATGTCAGAGTCCGATGGGCGATGGCTGACTGGTGCTCGCCGCCAGAGGTAGCAGTTGCATCGCGATCGTCCACCGATCCCAGTACCCCCACGATTGCACCGCACACCACGCGAAAGAAGGAAAGCAAAGAATACGATTGCAGACGAACCGACGGCGGCAAAATTGAAGATCTGAGCGACTGAAAGCGAGTCCTAACTCTACCTATGGGCTTTGGTTGGGCTGAGCGCGGGGTGGTCCACGGCCCACAGGACCACCACAGTAGCTCCGCCCCTGTATATAACTGTTATGAACCTTAGTTGATATCGGGGATAGGGAGGATAACCATTGCCAAGAGGAAGGCCGGGCAAAGTCTGCGTGGAGGGAGACTAGAATATTTGGGGGTAACTGGATTGTTTGTTGTTCATTGCTTGATTCATCGTAAGCTGATTATAGGGGTATAAATAGAGCTGCCCAGCCTCGGCGCCAAGCCTCTAGCTCCTCGTTTCTCTCCCCACCATTAACTCTAATCTCTCAACCATACTACTAATTCTCATTGATTACAGCCGCATGCTCTTACTACTGTGCTTCTGGCAGCTGCATGCGCCTCTATTGCTGCAGCCATAACTACTAATCCCCAACCATCTACTAATTGCTATTGATCACAGCTGCATGCACCTCTATTGCTGCGCTCCTGGCAGCATCTTGAGCCCTGGAGTGGCTTGGTATTGTCACCCCCACGTAACAATAACATTGCAGATTTGCAATGATGATCCACCTGAATTAAAAGAAGATGATGACACTGCTAGAATAACTGACATTGATGAAGTTTGCTTGACTCCTTTTTCTTTATTTTAAGAAATACCTTTGTCCTGTCTACTAGGAATAATGACATAAATATGATGTAAGCTTCACAGGAAAGCTACACAGAGTGATTGAAGAATTCATAGATAAAAGCATCATCTTCATATGTATATATTCACCATGTGTCTTTCAATAAAGAAGAGAAAATAGATCACCATATGTTGGATTCAGACAGTAAGACATGTTTAAGTGGGGCCGAAATGGTTCTGTGTAGACGCGTTTCTGGATTCCCTCCATTGGGTACTTGAAAAAAAATTATTTTATATTTCACAGTTTTTCACTATTTGAATTTTGAAATAGCAAAAGACATCTGCTTGTTCTGTGTGTTTTTATATGCAAGAGAAATCTATCTGCTTCCTATGGATTTGGAAGTCCAAATGCTGCAACAAACTAAGAGTTTTCTCCTCACTCCTAATGATGGACAGGCTCAACACGAGCAACATTATTAGGAGAAAAAAAACTCAAGCTGGAAGGCAACAACTATAATTGTGTCCTATGCAATATGAATGTTGAAGAAATGGCCTTTCACCTCTTCTTCACTTGTTCTTTCAGCCAGCTCTGTTGGCAGTTCCATGGCATTTAGTGGAATCTTACGTCAGATTTCTTCCAAATGATAATACAAGCCAAATAAGCTTTTCCATATCCTTTCTTCATGGAAGTGTTCATTATCTCTGCATGGCAAATCTTAATGCAGCACAATAACTTTATTTTTAACAGAGGACCTCCAACCTTCTCTTCTTGGAGAAGATGTCTCAAAGATGAAGGTCGACTACAAGCATATAGGATTTCTGAAAACAAGCGACCTATTTTTCTCTCATGGGTTGATTCCTGTGTATAGTTGTTTTTTGTTTGTTTGTTTGGTTTTTTCTTGTTCTAGCCGAGCTTGGGCTTAGCTGGAGTGTTTCCTTTTGTTTTGTACAGTTGTTGTTTTTGTGTTTTCATAAAATCTAACAGTGGGGACCCCAGCTGTTTTTCTGGTTCCCAAAAAAAAAAAAAAATCTGAATCAAACAGTGGTTCAAAAAAAAAAATCTAACAGTGGGGACCTCAGCTTGGTCAGGGAGAGCGAGAGACATTCGAAGAGGCTGCGGAGAAGGAACCTGAACCGGAACAGGAAGAGAAGAAAGAATCGTAACTTTGTTTCGTGTCTCATCCATTGCTGTGAAGGGTCGTTGGTTAAGTGTTGCTATCAGTCACGCGAGAGACCTGCTCATCTATGAACCCTGATGTGCCTCATTCGTTTCCATGTCCTCCAGTTTTCAGTTTCTTACAGGCTTTTTTGTCCCAACCCGACAGTCGCATTCGGTTTTGCATCAAGTGTGTTTCATCAGGTTAAAAAAAAAAGCACTACTCCAGTATACTTAAGTTTTCTGAAGCTTAGTTTGTTAAAAGAGATAAACTAAGGACGTACTACCGATATTTTACAGATCCAATCTATGAAGTCTTCGAGACGGTGTAGACCGGCATATATTTTCATCGAGCCAGAGTGGGTTTCAGCAAATGTTTGTTACTTTGTGTTCTCGGTGTCCAGCAGCAGTTTTACAGACCAAAGTTTGCATTCGTCAAGGCAGGCCCATAACTATTTTGAAGTTCTTAAGAGAGTACACTAATTGAACGGCCCAGATACTCTACTCCAGAGTCCAGAGTACCCGCCGCAAGGACTTGGTGCCGGAGTAGCGCCGGGATCTGCCGGACAGGTCGGCGGTGGTAGGCGAGATCGGCGTCGACAAGGAAAGGATGGAGACGTGGAAAAACTGGGCATTTGCTTTCCTCTGCGATTCTCTGATTGAATAGAAGAAACTAGGGACCTACTTCCTCTGTCCTACTTCCTCTGTCCTAGATTATAAGACGTTTTGGTATTTTTAGATTTCTAGATTTTACTATATATCTAGACATAATATTTCTAGATACTTAGCAAAAGCTATTAATCGAGAAAAAATAAAAAGTCGTATAATTTGGAATGGAGGATAGTTGCTTGGGTAATGCTGAGCCATGATGGTTGTGTAGCGTGCATCGCTATTGCAGCCTCCATTGTGTGTGTCATCCCACTGTTTGGAAACATCATGCATGCTTTTGTTGCTGCTACCTGGCTTGATCCACACCTTAACATCAGCACGTAACATCTGAATGGAATGGCGAACCAGTAAGGTTACTGTTGGATGCAGATAAACAAGGAGCCAAAACGGCCAGCACCGTCTCGTTTGCCAAACAGGAAACAGCCTATGGCCGGGTAATGAAACGGAAGTGAGACCAGACTTTGCATAATCTCCAGAGAAGAGATATACAGGCAAGAGATTCACAGCTTATCATCGAAATTATAAACCTTCCAGATTCTAGTGTTACTACAACTGCATGCCGATCACCATGCATCTTGATTCAATTCAACCAAACAGCAACATGCATTCAGTCAATCGAACGCCCGCACACACGAACTTCAGTACACTCCATTGAACACGCCCGAACGATGCAGCGTCCACACAACCCGAACGATGCAACGTTCACACAACCCGATCGCATCGATCATCATCGGCACCACCGGGCGCCGACGACAAGCCTAGCAGCACACGAGCTGCTCCTTGCCGTCGTCCTCCACCTGGGCCCGGCGGTCGCCGAACAGGCCGGCCCTGAAGGCCAGGAACCCCGCGGCGTGGCCCGCGACGGCGGCGAGGAACACGCCGCCGTTGAACGACATGAGCGCCAGCATGAGCAGGTACGCCACGCCCACGCGCAGTGCGTGCACCACCGCGCGCGCCGCCCCCGCCGCCACGCGCCGCCCGCCCCCGGCCGCGGCCGAGGGGAGGAGCGCGACGTCCAGGCCGCGGGAGCCCAGGAACTCGAGGAGGAACGCGAGCGCGAAGACGGCGACGAGCGCCAGCGCGTACATGCCGCCGCGCGCGCCGGGCCACCCCGAGAAGAGGATCTCCGAGTCCTTGCCCCAGAAGAAGGTCATGTGGGTGTACCGCATCCGCATCCGCATGCCGCCGTGCGCACCGGGCGGGGACGGCGGCGGCGCCATCGCCATGCCGCCCATGCCGTGCCCTCCTCCTCCCATGTCCATGTCCGTCCGCCTTGGCGCGCGTGTTGTGTTCAGTGGGGTTGCGTGAGAGGTGAGACTGTGTGGGGGGCGCTGTGCTGTGCGCGTCGATCGGGGACGGGATGTGCTGCTGCGGCCTATATAGGCGGTGCGTCGTGCAGTGCAGTACACGACGCGACGAGAGGGGGGGACGGCTAGTGTAGTACACCCGCGTGTGCGTACACGGCGGGGCAGAGATGTGTACTGCGGCCCCGACCCCGTTTTCCACGGAGTACGGAGGGAGAAATCGTTCGGTGCGCGTGGAGTGCGGCCGTGCGGCGACGGTAGGGCGCTACACCTACAACGCAAATCTGCAATTCTCCAAAAACGGTGGCCGCGTGCACGGCTCGGCAAGCAGCTTGCTATGTTTAGGCAGGCAGTCTGGCAGTGGAACGAGTGCATTGAACCGCGGGCCTGAAACAAATTATCCGATTGTTTCCACGGATGATTCTCCGTCCGAAGATGGATATATACATGGTCGGTCACATGGACGCTGAAGGTCAGCAATTCTGAAGATCAGCGACGAGCTTTCTTCGGAGGGGATAGCCCCGACTGTTATTTTTCTTCAAAAAAGCAGTTTCGTGCTCCATCTAACGACAGAGAAAACAGAATACCAAATGTTTAGATATCGAAGGACTCATCGGGGCATGTTTGCGCAATTGCACTTAACATCAATCGTCATGTAGCATCAAGCCATCGCCCATCGCATAGCCCATAGCGTGTTCTCACCTGAACGGTGAACGTTGCTAAACCCGTACATAATTGTAATTCATTAATCATGCACGGAAAATAAAAATGACAGTAAATGTAGGTCGTCATGTAGCATCAAGCCATCAGTCGCTTCCTTGCATGTTTTTGTGTACACCAATGAAGAGACGCAGATTAGGTAGGCGCACTGTGTTTGTGCAATTTATTTGGGAGTATTGATTAGGTGGTATCTCAATCAAAGAAGAAAATATCTCGAGGGCATCAGATATGCATGACAAAAACTCTGTTATATGCCCTTTTTTACATGTCATATTAGGTTTATCACAAGTCAAGTACTATTATCTTTGACCACCTATTCTAAAAAATCTTTATAGTTTTACAACATATATGAATTATATATGATGAAAATATTTCTCATAGTAACTCTATGTCAAGAAACTTTTTTTTAATTTGATGGTTCAAAAATACAAATTGTTAACTTAGGTTGCTCGAAAAAACCCTAATACAATATATAAATAAAAACGGAGGGAGTATTTTCTCCGATCGTGCAAGTACTTGTTTATAGTTCTCTTTATATATATATATATATATATATATATATATATATATATATATATATATTTATATTTCTAATATTTTGGTTTATTTGGTTGATTGTAGTATCCTCTCTCCATATACTCTTGATGCATCCGCATAAACTCTAATCAACCATTCATTGGTTTAAAGCTATTATCGTTGTCATCTCCTTCTCTTCTTTTTTTCCCACTCATATTATAAGGTAGCCTTCAATGAGCTCCTCTCTATCTTTATTTCTATCTTTATCTCTATATCTTTTCTATCTCTTCTATCTTATCTTATTTTATACTCGTCTACCTAGTCGTGGTGAAACCCTAGTCGCTGATTTTAAACTGACAATTGATTCCTTTTTCCCGAAAAATGAAACTGACGATCATGTATGTATCATCCTTTCTTGTGACTAGTACATTGTCTGCGGCGCAAAATCACTAATCGACGCACGTGCATTGCCAACGCACGGGCTTTGACTACTCGATTAGTAGAGGACGAAGATTGTGAGACATAGGGGATGGTGAGGGGCGTACGTCTCCAACAAGACTTGGTAACAAGTATAATTGATTAAATAGGTGAAATCCCTCTCTCGATTTGTGATTTTCCCGTCACCTAGTACAAGACCTCCGATCTAGAGCAGATCTGGTGCAACCAAATTTCAGGACCAAACCAGATCTGCAGACCGGTAATAGTTTTGTAAGCTCTATTTTTTAGAACTCATATTCACTTCTTTTAGATGACATCTCATTCTTTTAAGGGGGTCCGACGATCGTGGTTCACCAAGCAATTGTGGCGGTTCGATGGGCAACGAGTGAGATGATGTACACACTGGTGAGTGGGCGGCAGAGGATAGCCGGTGGGTAGGGCTGGTGGCAGGGGCAAATTGAAGTGGCGGGAGTGGGCACGAGACCACGAGTGACGTGGCCGGGGGCGCCACTAGTGATCAGGCATGCTTAACAACCACTACAGTTAATACTATAGACATGGTTGATATCATAAATTTGAAAATGTAGTATCATAGAGCTACTGTAAAGGCAATACTTATATTATTGTTATGATTATGATGACACATTGACGTGAAGTACTCCTACGGGTTACTGTCGATGTTTCACCACCGATAGCCTGCCACGGGGGTACCCGGGGCAGTATTGTTCGGGCTTCGGCGTATGCTGAACTCGATGGTAAACGCAAGAGACAGTCGATTTATCCTGGTTCAGGCCCTCGATCGTAGATCGAGTAACGACCCTACGTCCAGTCGGCGTTGGCCTTTGCGTTGGATTGATTATGAAGTGTTATGTTGTACAATTGTCGTCCTCTTCTCTCAGGAGCCCTGCCCTCCTTTATATAGTCAGGAGGCCAGAGTCCTAGTCGGTTTACAATGAGATTTCCTAGTAGGATTACTTAATAGTTCTATTACTAAGATTACATGGGAAGAATCCTAGTTGAACTAGATCTTCTCTCTCCCTTGCGGGGTATCCTGTGGGTCCCGCATCGACAAGCTCCCGAGCACTTCATGGTTAAGCTCTGAAAGTCTCGCTTTGCTCCTTCAAATCTTGTTGAGTAGGAACAAAATGTCATCCGAGTGCTTTCTGGAGTGAAACCTTGTAGCGCTTCTTGGGATCTTCGAGTGGTGAGTGCTTTTTGAAGAAAAAGTACATCCATCTGGTTGTAGCCCCCGAGCCTCTTGCTATTTGGAACAAGGAGCTGGAGGATCTTGTCTTGAAGTTGCTCTGATTGTTCGTCGAAGTTTTATCAAAAAGAACTTGAATATGGCTCGTTCCGGGTTCTTTTTGTCGTAATGTCTTGAAGTGGTCTGCGTTGAGGAAGTCTTCTTTTGGTGACGTGCGCTTTTTCGAAGAAAAAAGTGCACTCACTGAGTGTAGCCTCCGAGCCTCTTGCTATTTGGAACAAAAAGTTGGAGGGTCTTGATCGTTTATGTTGTTTGAAAATTTGTGTTCTGAAGTAGTCCCCGAGACTTGGATTATGTCATCATCCGAGTAGTTTTTTGCGGCATCTTTCCGAAGCGGCCCTTTAGTTTTGGATTAAACCATCATCCGAGTAGTTTCGTGGCATGCAGCCTCCGAGCTTATGTCCGGGTTCTTTTTGGGTGGGTGCAATTTTTCGTAAAAAATTGCACTCACTGAGTGTAGCCCCCGAGCCTCTTGCTTTTGCTTGCAAAAGTTGGAGGGTCCAGATTCTTGTCTTCAAAAAATTCTAGGGCTATGTATCCCGCAGCCCCGTGCTTTCTCCGAGTTCTTCTCTTTAGAAAAGAAGTCGGATGAAGAGTCTTGATGTGTCGTCGTCGTTGTAGTCTTGAGTTTCTTGTACTCTTGGTCCTTTGTCTTTGGTTCCGAGCCCCTGGGAGTAGTTGAAATGAAGGCCGAGCTCCCTAGCTTAGTGTTGATTAAGCTATGATGCTGGCCGAGCCCCCGAGCGTATATCCGTGTTGTTTTGTTCAGGAAGAACTCGGATGCGAGGTCTTGGCATATTCTTTAATAGTCTGCTGTTGTCAGATGTAGTTGTATAGTGGTGGTTGAGTGTAAATGCCTTTTGTTCATGGGTTGTACTGTGCTGGTATATTCTTCCGAATATGCCCGTCTTCGAGTACTATTTCCTCTCGCCTGAGTCATCCATTATTGAGTCCTGTCTTTTCACTGTGTCCTTTGTTAGGCTTATTTCGTTGGTACTCCTAGTCCATGTGCGCCGCTCCTTTGGTCTATAAATACTGTCCCGGAGTGCTTGTTTTCATCTATTGGATATTCTGTTGAAACCTTCGTGGTCATGAACATGGTAGTTTGTGAAGTAGAGCAGCCCCCGGGCATATTTTGTAGTTCCTGTGTGTCTTGTCGTAGCTGGAGGAAGTCTTGTGATAGGGATTAGAGGTAGGCTAATCCCGCGACAGCATTGTGCCAGGATGTACGTGGTGGTAGTTGGAGGAAGTCTTGTGATGTGGGCTTCGTTTCTTCATCTGGCAGTTCTGGGTTGATCCTCGTCGCCTGTCTTGAGACTGTCCGGTGCAGATCAACACCATATGCAGCATCACATCGGTCTTGGGTAGACAGATGCCCGCCGGCCTTCTCTGCTCCATGTTGTCTTGCCGTGCTGCCGATTTCCGCCTTGGGTGCACTGCGTCCGTCCTTTGAAGAAAACAGTGTAGCTGATGGCGGTTTGTCCTTCCGAGTAGCAATTTGGGACACGTAGTCGTTCCAGAGCCTAGCCATGTCCATGTTCCTCTTTGCTACCTTGTTTTTCGTGGTGCCGAGTTCGTTGGGTCTTGTAAGATTTGTAATCTTCTATTTTTGAAGTCGCTTGTAATGTAACGAATCTTGTCTTTAAGATTTGTAATCTTCTGTTTTTGAAGTCGCTTGTAAAGAAAGGGCTGAAAACATGCCTGAGTTGTCTTCTGACTAGTTTTGGGTGTTAGCTTTTAGCTACCCTCATCGGCGGGCTCAAGCATTTTTTCAGCTATTTTGCTCTCGGCCGGGATGCTCAGGCATGTTTTCAGCCATTTTGCTTTTCGTTTTGGGTGTTAGCTTTTAGCTACCCTCATCGGCGGGCTCAAGCGTGTTTTCAGCTATTTTGCTCTCGGCCGGAATGCTCAGGCATGTTTTCAGCCATTTTGCTTTTTGTTTCGGGTGTTAGCTTTTAGCTACCCTCATCGGCGGGCTCAAGCGTGTTTTCATTATTTTGCTCTCTACCGAATGCTCGAG